TAGGAGACTCGTCCGTTGGAGCCCGCATCCGCGTCCGTGGCTCGCACCTGCAGCACCAGCGAGCCCGTCGCCACATTCTCCCGCACTCGCGCCTCGTAGCTGCTTTTGCTGAACACGGGCGCGTTGTCGTTGGCGTCTGTCACGTTGATGCGAATCTGGACAGTGCCCGACCTCGCTGGAGACCCGCCGTCCACCGCCGTCAGCACCATCTCAAACGAGCTCTGCTTCTCGCGATCCAAAGCTGCTTCTAACACGAGTTCGGGCTGCCTCTTGCCACTTGGCGTCTCCTTCACTTCCAGCCTGAAGGAGGGGTTCTCGGTGAGCTGGTAGCTGAGTAGCGAGTTGCTTCCCACATCCGGATCTTGCGCCATCTCCAGCGGAAATCGCGCACCAGGAAGGATTAATTCCCCGACCGCCAGTTCGAGAGCAGCCTCACTGAAGACCGGGGAGTTGTCGTTTACGTCCTGAATGTCCACGTCGACATGGAAAACGTTGAGCGGGTTCTGCACGACCGCCTCGAGACTGACCGAGCAGGACGCCGAGTCCCCGCACATCTCCTCGCGGTCCAGRCGCTCGCTCACGTACAGGTGCCCCGTGTCCGCACTCACCGCGAAGTTGTGCTTCTCCGAGCTGATGCGCAGCTGCCGGGCGGGCAGGTCTGTCGGGCTCAGTCCCAGGTCCCGCGCCAGCGGCCCCACCACGGAGCCGCTGCTCATTTCCTCGGGAATCGCGTAGCGCAGCCGCTCCGGCGCCGCCCAGCAGCCCCAGGAGAGCAGCCAAGCGCAAAACAGCCCTGCAAGGGGTCCCATCCAGTGCCTCTGCCTGTTCCGCCTCTCCATTCTCAGGAATGTGCTCTGTGCTCCGTTCTCCCGTTTCTTATTTTCCGTCCCTTCCTTCCGGCGCTCGCGAGACCTCAAATCCCGAGCTCCCGATCTCAAATGACGGCTAGCAAGTTGATTATATCTGGATAGAGAAATATAATCTTCTCTCACTGCTTCTGCCGCCACTTCTTCTCGCCCTCCCAGCGGCTTTTTCTCTCCGTGCCGACACCGCCCGCCCGGCGCTCCGCGAGCGAGCGGCCGCCCCGCGGGAGGCTGCGGCGGCTGCGGCTCTGTCTGCGGTGCCGCTTCACATCGGGCAACAGCGGCACCCGGAGGCCCCGCGCCCACACTGCGGCCCGCCCGTAAAGGGACAAGCTGCAGCCGGCCTCTTTCCACGGGAACACATCATGTAAGAGCCGATTCCGAGAAGCTTGAGGATATTCCCATGTTCCACCTCCTCATGTCAAAAAAGGTCGCCTCGGGGAAGGAAGGAGTCGTTTTCTCTGCAATCTGCTTTGGTAAGTCAGAGCCAAGTTTCTCTTTTTTTGCCCTGCTGATGGTAATATGAGAAGCTGATGCCAGAATTAGTACTTTTTCTCCGGCCACATTTTTCTCCCACAGGCAACTGTACTCTCCTAAGAACTTCTGCATTCCTCATTTCCAGTGTACGTTGCTGTAATTATTACGATAATTGAAGAAATCATTTTTAAGTTAGGACCTCGTTTTTCATTATGTCCTCGATTGCTTCATAGTTTACATTCCTTGGGGCACAAAATAGGCCTCAGCACTCTCAGTTCTAATATCCACATGTTAATGTAGATTTACATCCAATGTAGATGCAACAACAATCCAATGCAGATGTAACTACAGGACGCAACTAGAATGTCTTTCTTGACAGGAGCATTGCAATTTTTCCTAAGTTCTCATTCACTCAGTCTTTGAGCCCAAGGAGAGCACCTAAAAAATATGGAGATTGGAAGGCTCAAGGGATTTCACTGTGTTTACAGTCTTCCTGAAGTGGCAGAAGTGGCACTGCTCTCTCCCTGGAATTCATGCCAAAGTGGAACACATCTCCTCTGAAAGACAATTTGCTTTGAAGGCCCAGACCTAACTATAGTCTTGCAGACTTCTAGGAATGGTAAATTCCATTGAAGGGATCCTCTGCAATGCATTTAAAGTGCCCTAGTCATGAGAAGAAGCACTCAGAAGAATATGTCCTCTCACAGTGATGACCATGGTTCTATAACCTACAACTCTCTGGTGAGATTCTAGTACTTCATAGAACTTCATGATTACTGGAATAATATTGTGGCACAAGATTTTTGAACAATCTGGCCCAAGGAGCAGGACATTAAAGTGATGAGGAAATCATGCATCATCATGCATCATCAATACTGATGCATCATCAGTAGTGCTGCATAAGCAAATAACATTAGCAGCAAGATCTATGGGAGTAATTGTCCTGCCAAAATCAGACCAAGGAGCATGCAATTCAAAACAAAACTATGCACGCAATGGTGGCTGGAGATTATTCATAATTATATATGAACAAAGGAAAGAGTGAGAAGATGATCATACAGGCCTGCATGGTGACAGGGTTTAAAAGCGATTCAAGTGAAGTCAAGATATTATCTCAAGCAGAGATCACCAACTGAATGAACAACCAGAGTGTTGTTTAGAAGAAATGACAAACAAATGGATTCTGCTAAGAGAAGGAAGCTTCTGTGCTTCCTTATATGTGCCTAACAATGTGTACTGAGAAACTAATAGCATTTCTAATTGGACTTGATCTCATTTCCTCCTCCACATGATGGAGGAAGGTGGAGTAAATTATGAGGCAAATACAAATCATCACGAATGGAATTCTCTTGAGTAAGCTAATTGGAAAGGTAAGCTCAAAAAAAGTGGTGCAACTTTGGAGGGTCTACCTCCCTTCCCAATAACCAAATTTAGATGTCATATTCTGACATGCTAAAAGTTAACGTTGTAACTCATCACTTAAGTTATCTATTAATGTCTTTTCTTTACCTAAAAGAAAGAAAAAACACTTAAGGAAATACAGACCTAAAAATGCATCCTCTCCTTTCTTTTTGTATTAGAAAATCTAATTGATTTTTATTTATATAGATAGAGAGAAAGAGTATGTTATAAAGAAGTATATTTTTTAAAAAATCTGCTTGTAGGAGAACAAAAAGATACATCCATTTGGGTATTCATCTATATATATTAGAAAACACCAGACAGAGAAAAGAAAGAAGTCAAAATTGATCCAATCTGAGAGTGTTTCCATCTCCAAACACATGACTCTTACCAAGACTGCTTCTCTTGGTAGAGATGGCAATATATATAATGTTAAAAATAAACCAAAATGTCTCATTTGACAAAAACACTAAGAAAACACTCAATCTATTACAGATATTACAAATCCAACATCAGATCAATGAATGATTGCTTCATTTTAAGTAATCCTTTTATTTTCTGCTTTTTGGAAACGGTGCCACAATAAAAAGTCTATCATCTTAGAAGAGCACATTTCCCTCTCTGCCACACTAATTACTACTGGGAGGTAAACATATTCAATGAAACCACATCTTCCATTCTGGTAAACCAGAAGAATTCATTCACAGCAAAAGTAGCTTTACATTCTCCACAATACCACACTATCCCTAACAATTTTAGTTAATTACTAAGACATAGAGACCATAAGAGAAATAGTGCCATCACTATTTCATCCAGCTCTCATATCCATCCAGCTCTCCTTTCACCTTTAAGCTCAACACTTAAGAGACATAGTGGTGCCTTGCACTACCAGCATAGATGGGAAAAGCCATAAAAATCAGCAGAAAGACGGCAGAAAATTTAGGTCTGTGCAGACATAGTGTTTTCTCTATTCCTATTATTTCAACTCCTTCTGCACAATCACTGTTTGGGTAGACGACAATACGAATGGTTTGGATAGATGATGATACCCATTTATTTCTTCAGAGAAAAGTTAGACCCTCGTCACAACCAGAGACACAGCTTTGTTGCTCCATTCACAGACACACAAATTTAATTTGGAAATGCATTCATGAAAAAAAGTAAAATAAAGTAAATGTTTCCTGTTCAGTATCATCAATTACGTGCAGATACTCTTTTTGTTTCCAGGTGTGTGTCCTACACTGCTTCATGCTTCATGGTTTAAATCTCTTAGGACTCAAATAGGCCTCAGTGCTCTCGGTCCTGATATCCACATGTAAATTTCAAGACTTGTACTTCCTTCGTGATAGGAGCACTGTAGCTTGCTCTAAGGTTTCATTAACTCAGTGTTTGACTCCAAGGATAGCACCTGAAGAACTCAGAAATGGGAATGCTCAAGGGATTTCACCATATTTGCAGTCTTCCTGAAGGGATAAGACTGGCAGTGCTCTCCCATGGCCTGCACAGGCTCTAAGTGATGCCAAATTGGAACTCCTCTCCTCTGAAAGACAATTGGCTTTGAAGGTCCAGACCAAAACTGCACTCTCTCAGACTTCAGGGAATGGTAAATTCCATTGAAGGGATTCTCTATGAAAGCATTTATCTTCCCATATGCAATGAGAAGAAGCACTCAGGAGAATACGTCCTCGCACAATAATGACTATGATTCTGTAACTTGCCATGCTCAGGTGAGATTTGCTGTGTTTCTTCCATATGTTGTGATCCAAGAAGAGGCTGCACAAATGCAGTGGTAAAGTTTACCACTTTACAAGCCACAGGACTTACTTGCCTGTTATGCAGAGATACATCAACCTGAGAAAGTATAACTCTACCTTCTGACATATTTAACTGTCAAGAAACTTTACATTCCTTAGAATCTACATGCATGCCACATTGTTTTTTGTTCAGGAAACACCATAACATGTATGCCACTCTCCCTGTCATATATTAGGATCACCTCTTGAAATGAGGAAGTATCTAAACAGATACTCCCTTCTAAGGATCTACAGCATCTGGGATACAAGGAGGGATATAAAAGTACCTCTTCTTAATAGCTATCCATTGTGGGAAAACCTACATATCAAGCTAAAGGCCATGTGATGAATAAATAGACATTACACACTACTAACATGGTCTATGTGCTTCTGGCCCAGTATTTGCATTAGACATGGGAGTGTGAACAGTTGCTTTAAAGATTCATACCTTTTTGTCACATCAACACTATAAAGATGCAGAGGATGCAGCAGAATTCAACAATATAAGACTTTCAAAGACAACGACCACAGCAACCAAAACGCACCTGTTGGAAGCCTGAGAGAAGGGGATCAGAAAGAAACAGCAGTTGCCAGAATTTCTGGTTGTTGGTCTCCTATCGGAAGGGGATCACACATCATTTGAGTCCAACCATAAAAAAAGATTATGAGGAACAAATAACTTTAACACCTATCTTCCCTACACAAGAGGGAATGTTATATTATTGTTATGTTTCTAGAGCACTGTCAAATGTGGAGACATGAGCCCACAGTGACACGTGCACATTAACTATGCCACAAGCAAAAGCATTTTTTTCAGAGGCATATTTTGCAAACCTGCATACAACAAAGTCATGCTGTTTATAACCTTAAACATTGAAGTTTAGGTATGAGAATTGTTCCTCCTGACATGCCTTTCTAAGTGAAAGCCTGTATCAGGCATGTGGAGGCCTACATACTAGTCATGATCACAAATGGGACTAATATTAGAAACATCCAGAACTGAACAAATCATACCAGATAAGAATTATTTACAGCAACAACAACCACAACAACAATAAAACCTATTACACTGTAAGAACATAAGGACCAATGCTTGGTGACCCTATACTACTTAGTACAGCCTTATCCAAAGACTGTCTCAAAGAAGAGTGAAGAAGAAAAGTCCATCGTGAAAGCAAAATAGCACAAAAAAAAAGAGAGATACATTTAATGGGAAAGGAAAACCAAGAAAAAAAGTAGGCAAATGATGCACATCTAAGGCAAAACCACATCTCTCTTTAAAGAGAGTATTATCCATTTAAACAAATGCCTTGAAAAATGTGGGACATTATATGTAAAATGATATCGATCCTTAATATCTAGATTTCAGATGAATAGTTGAAATTCAAAGAAAACCTGGATACCTTTTACTCCTATTACTCTTACCAAAGAGTAATACTGTGGCACAGGGTCTTGTCAAAAATTGTTTACCAAAGTAACGCTGTGGCACAGGGTACTCAAAGACCCTAACGAAGGAAGAATCCACTTAAAACACGAGGAAAACACTTTTTTTTTTTTTT